CTTAGTATATATTAGTGAAGCTATGCTCAAGAAAATAATATATGAAAGAGTGAACCCAACAACATGGTTTTCACAGATATTCAAGGAGTCTAAGTTAAAACGCGATACCGACTACAGAAAATTTTCAATAACCCAAAGTGAAAATGATTGGAAGCAATATACAAAATCAAGAAATGAGTGTGTAGCAGTTCTCAGGGGGGAAAAGAAAGATACTATGATAAGAAGATCGATAGCAATAAAAATAATTCTAAAATGATGTGGAAAACATTAAAGAATATTGTTTCACCTAGAATTAGGTCTCGAAGATTTGGTAGTGACAGACAAATTAATTATAGCAGAAAGAATGAAAACTTATTTTATAGAAAGTGTAAATCAAATAGTGAAGACGATTGATGACGATGAACCAAACTTATGTCCATTGCAAGTATGTCAGAGTTCATCAATGAAGCAATTTAGGACAACTAACATCAACAATCTAAGAAAAGCTATCTCAACATTGAAATCTAATAAAAATACAAGTGAGAATCTCCCAAAAAATATTCTAAATATAATTGGAGAGAAATTATCATTATTTGTGAATCATTGTTTACTGCATGGTGAATTCCCATCAAAATTAAAGTGTTCCACCATTACTGCTGTGCCAAAAGTTCAAAATTCTCAGCTGTATACAAATATGCGGCCGATTAATGCCTTGCCCGATGTCGAGAAGCTGTTCGAAGGGGCAATATAAGAACAAATCATAGAATTCATTGAAGAAACCAAAATTTTGATAAAAAATCAAGCTGGATTTAGAAAAAAATGTTCCACAGAAACGGCAATCCAAATGGTGGTGGAAGACTGGAGAAGAAGTATAGATGAGAAAGAATATATTGTAACAATATTTTTAGACTTCAAAAGGGCATTTGAGACTATAGATAGGGAAAAATTGTTAATGAAATTGCGTCACTATGGCTTTAAAGGATCAGTATATTAATGATGAAAAAATTGCAGTAGTCGAGTCATTTAAATATCTTGGTATATATGTGGATAGTAAGTGACTGTTTCACGAACATTATGAATACATTATTTCAAAAATATCGAAAAAGATGAATTAGTTCTATAGAGTTTCCCATAAGCTTAGTATGTATTCCAAAAAAATTGTGTATAACACCACAATTCTTCCCCATTTTTTATATTGTTCAACCATCAGCAAATGAAAAAATGTTTTCAAAACTACAAATCCTACAAAATAAAGCTTTGAGAATTATTTTAAATAAAAACAAATATGCTAGGATTAAGTGTATGTTAGAAGAACTGCGGTGGTTGGATGTGAAAAATTTCATATATTATTTAGTTCTCGTTATCATATTCAAATTAAAAAATCATTTATTACCACCACATTTAGAGAACCTCACAAAATTAAATAGTCATTATCATAACTACGAAACTAGAGGCAGTATAGATTTTCATCTGCAAAATTGTAATAGTAGCATAACTAGTAAATCTATATTTCAAAACAGAGTATCTGAATTTAATAAATTGAATAATGATGTTAAACAGAGTTCGAATTTAAAAATGTTTAAGATGAAATTAAAGAATCACTTTATGAATAATCAAAATGCATAGTGACGTAATTTTATTTTTAATAGACAAGGATGTAAAATTATAGAAAATGGATTGAAGGAAGATATCTAACCGAATCATTATAAAAAAATTGACATTGTAGCATTAATCCTAAATAAATCTTCAACAACAGCAACAACTCACCGTGCATACTCGGCAGGACTACTTTCGATATCGTATCCTCTAAATCCGCTCCAAGATAGATTTGCACCACGGTGATAGAAGCCACTGCGGCACATACACAGATAGTTGCCTCTGTGATCTGAAGCAGGGTCCAACCTGACGCACTGAAAATAAACCGAAAATGTTCAAAATGCCTACTCAGGAACTAACAAATCGCGACAAGCGGCTAGCTTTGCACTTTCCACGCAATTCTTCGACCAATTCTCCGACAAATACAGGCTGTTAATAAAGTATGTAGACAAATTTTAACCATCGAATCCTTGGTCAATTTGAAGGCTAAATGGTTATATGAACATGGGTCCGTAACGGCTTTCTTTTAGAGCATTAAAGAAATACGAGTAATGTTCCAAATATTTCTATGAATAATGATAATAACCTATGATAAATTTTGCATGTTTCACAAGTTGCTGAGGCTCAATATGAACGTGGATGGAAATAGTATTATCCTGTATTTTTAACGAAATACATATGTCATTTCGTGATCACTGAACTGGCCCATTATGACAATTATTAGTAATCACCAACAATTTTTGGAGTCTTAGAATGACTAGATAAGAAAACAAATATTTGAGAGCTGTCGAATTATATATAAATTAATTCAATTGTTTTCGGGTACGTCATAGGTGGCTATTAAAAGTGTTGCGATCAATACAAATCAATGTCATGCTATTTTTTCAAAAAATACTGGATAACATTATCCGGGGGGTCTGAAAATAACTGTAAATAATGTGATATTCACCACAGGGCATACTTTATTAAAATAAAATACATTCCATTCTTTTATGATTTTTTAGAACAATATCATTTCTTTTAGCACTAATGTGCTCTAGTTTGAAAACAAAGCTGTTGCAGACCCATGTTCAAATGGAAATTCCGGCTTCAAATTGACCGATGGTTAAAGTTTGTCTACATACTTTATTAACAACCTGTATACCTGGTGTTTCAAATTCGACACTCACCGATCCAAATTCCTGCACGTGGAGTGCTGTCATCAGAAAAACTGTGGATCGGATTGATCGAAAAATTTTTCTTGGTGCAATTTTCGTTATAGTTAGCCGTTTTTGAAATATTTCGATTTTTAAGGTTTGATGCATTTTTAATTACTTATGATAAAATAGCGTTAAAAAGTCAGTATCTCGATAATTTTTAGAAGTAGGCTGTGCCTGCAAATATTTTTGAAATTGAAAGCAGTATAAGGTTAAACGTCAATTAGTTGACAGTTAGTTTTGTTGTCTGTAGAAACCTGAAACGTTTTTTTGCAATTGTTAATGCACGAAATTTAGTTTCTTTCACCTGTTTTTTTTTGTAAGTTTTATAAAAATGCCATTTTTATTCTCCAATCAAGAGTTAGCGGATATTCATTTTGTGTATGGCTTGGTAAATGGAAACGCAGCAGAAGCAGCCAGAGAATACGCACGAAGATTTCCAAACAGGCGATATCCAACTCGCTCAGTATTTGTAAGAGTGCATCGCTAAATAATTGAAAATGGTTTTGGAAATCTCCAAAGGGATCAAAACATAAATGTTCGTTAGCGCAGATGTACCCGTATGATTTTGCGTGAGTTTGATAGAGATCCGACCACAAGCGTTAGGAGAGTTTCTGGTGCCTTGGGAATTTCAGCAAGCCATGTTCACCGTGTTCTTGACCATAGACGTCCTTACCATTTGAAAACCTGTGCAAGGACTACAGCCAGGGGACGCAGAACGAAGAATCACATTTTGTCAGTGGATTCTTGATAGAACTGATAATAATAGGGAGTTCACTTCACTAGACGTGGAGTGGTAAATTTTCATAATCAACATATTTGGTCGCATGAAAATCCGCATGCAGTTCGGGAAAGAAATTTTCAGCATGAATTTAGTGTGAACGTGTGGATTGGTATCTACCGTAATCGACTATTTGGACCCTACCTTTTGCCTGCAAGGTTAAATGCTGCGACCTTCTTGAAATTTTTAAAGGCTGAACATGCAAATATGTGGGATGATGTTATGTTAGATTTAAGAAGATTGGCCTGGTTTCAGCTTGATGGTTGTCCAGCTCATTATTCGAGAATAGTTAGAAACTGGCTGGACGAAAATTATCCAGAAAGATGGATCGGCCGTGGAGGACCAGTCGCCTGGCCTCCACGATCCCCTGACCTAAATCCACTAGATTTCTTTGTATGGAGATTTCTAAAAGAAAAAGTGTACCAGACTCCCGTAACCACAAGAGATATGCTAATAGACAGAATCAGGAATGCATGTGATGAAATAAGGCCTTATTTGAATAATGCTATACCATGTTCGATCATTCGTAGATGTGAATTATGTATTGAACAATGGGGTTTACATTTCGAGCAACCACTTTAGATTTTGTATGTTTGTCCTAACTATCCAATAGCATTTTAGTTGTAAATAATTAAATTAATTTGTTAAAAATAATATTGGAAAATTAAACAAATCAATATTCTGTTTTTTGTGTTTATTTGGAGTAAGGAATTATTGCTGTGTTTAAAAACACAATCTAAACGATCATCTTAATTACTTGTAATGCCCAAATCAAAAATGTAAAAAAAATATTATTTTCCCATAAATAATTAAAAATGCATCGAACCTTAAAAATATCTCAAAAACGGCTAACTATAACGAAAATTCACAAGAGAGCTTTTTTATGTTGAAAAGTGCGAAGAATCAGTTTTTTATTCAAAAATCACAAAATTGCACTAAGAAAAAAATTTCGGTCATTTTAATACACTACAGGTACAGTAGAGAGCGCCCTCTAGCGGCTACAGTAAAACAATAAACTGAAACACCCTGTATAACATAAACAATGGTGGAGCCAAGACCGACCTCTGGGGATCACCTGCGTTGACACTGTTCGTCAATTCAAGTTCAAGCTTTTAAAAAAATCCAAGTTCAAGTCATCGAAGTGATTTAAATTTCTGATCACTTCAGCGCTTAGTCAATTTTTTAGAGAGCTCAAAAGATTAGAAACTATACGATCATTTATTTTTCATTTACAGCTTTATCTATCTAAAGCTTATCAGGGCTATAATTTTTAAACATAAATTTACATACATATTGTATTTATATTAATACTTGAAAAATGCCGAGTAAATTTGCTAAAAACATGCATCAATCTCTGATTCAATAGTGTAGTTACAAATTCAAATATTCTGCTTTTGAAAACGATTAAATTGTACTATCTTCCCTGAGTATTTCCTATCTGCCCTTACCTGTGTAGTCTCCGGATCACACATATGGCTGCCATTGAAGATTTCTATTTGCCCCTGGTCACACTGATCTAAGTCTACTTTTAAAAACACTCCCGCGCTACCGTTGTCCATTTGCATCACGTACACATACACCCATGTCCGTAAAAACTGACACTCCTTAAACGTTGCTCTCCAGCCTGTTCTCGTATCGTCCAAAACGTCCCAGAATCTGGAGTTCTCCACCTGCCAAAATGCGTCTTACTAATAAAATCAACTAATTTGTTATTTAGTCTAGGAGCAGTCACTGAGGTTATGTGTACCGTTATAATATTTCCTCTCAGGGGTATATGAAAAATCTGACCACGTGGCCCAAATCGTGGTTGTCTGACAACAAATTTTATTATACACGTTTTTGAACAACCCAGTAGTTATTAAGATATATTAAGGTTTGAAATTTTTATCGATTTATGCCGTTATTCAAATAACGCTACTTTAGATGACGAAATGGTCCATTTTTGGTACAGTGAAAACCAATTTTGAACACTAAAAAGTATGGCATTTACAAATATAGGGCGTTCCATCTATTGCTTCTTTTTTTAACTACCATTTTTGGACATGTTAAATGTGTCAACTGCCATGTGTTTAGCACATATAAACTGTCAAAGGTCTGCCATTTGTTATTATGGATTATTTCACAACGCAAGAACGCAGTTTGGTCATCCAGAAATATTACGAAAACGGAAGATCTTTAATAAGTACTTTTCGCAAACTCCGTGATGAATTTGGTCGACGTAATCGTCCCACAGAACGTGGAATTCGGTGGATTATCAATCGTTTTGAGGAAACTGGCTCAGTTGAAGGTTGAAGGAAGTTGAAGGACTTATGGAGGATCTTGCATGTTGATCTCCACCTACACCCATATAAGGAGCCCGTATTCATAAAAGAAAAGCATAAGGTAAAAGTATAAGGTCTTGCTTCGGAGAAAAAGGTAGAAGTATAAGCATATCCTTGTTTTCATATTCATAATGTACCTTATACTCGCGAGGATATCCTCCAAGAAGAAGTAAAAGGTCGACTGGTATGAGTTCACTCAGCACCACTGACAGTTGTACACAGACCGTTCCGTATTTTTACTGGATGCAGTTTTTCAAATCAATAACCATGTCATCCTCAAGTGATGAGGAAACTATAGAAAATAATGGCAACGACCTGCAGTTCATCGCAGGTGAAATTGCCACTGCTCCCATTATTTTTCAAAAGTCACAAGTTCCAAAAATAAAAATGAGGAAGGACGATGCCTTGAAGAAGATGTTGAAAAAATACGAATCAACATTCGGTGAACCACTAGATACTACAGGCTTATTAAAAAAAATCAACAACATGAAATCAAGATTGAAGAAAAAAACAGATCTAAAAAGAACTTGTTATAAAGCAATCAAATTGTTAGATTGGGAAAGGTGGCTGTAATCCTACAATTCGGAAAATTAGAGGAGCCACTGAGGTTGGTAGTGTTCAAGAAGAAAGAAGTGAACTATATACCGAGCGCAGTGAGCAAACAGTTAGTGTCACAGCGCCAGCAATTCAGAAGACATTACCACCAGAAAGAAAATTAGCAACAGAGAAATACCATGCTGAGGCAACCAAAGGGTTAACTACAAAAGAACTGCAACGTCTAGTGCTATTACAGCACTACCAAACAAGTATTTTACAACAAGAGTATTTTAAAACGAAATTAGAAATGATGCAGCGTCAGAAGCCACCTGTAACTTATGATGTTCACGAAAATAAAACTTATTATAACTTATAAATACACTTTCATCAGTAAAACTATTTATTAAAATACTAAAGTTTCTTCTTATTTGTTGATCTAGTTGGCGAGAGGAAGTTCGTCATTCTCATGATTTCCTTCATCTTCATCTGGGCCTTGTTTGAGATAGCTGACAAGGCGGCCAGAAAAGCTTGTTTAGAAGAAACTACTGAGTACAAAAACTATGTTTCAATAAACGATATAAATAATAATTTCAGAAATAATATGCTAGCCTCATGTAAACAGCGATGGAGCATATATTGTAGTAATTCTAGAAACCCGTATGCAATGATCAATCCTTTCTTACCAGTCAGGTCGTCACACATTTTCGATTATCAAATCGGAAGATTTTACTCTACCCTAATAACGAGATTGAGACTAAATCATGGTAGATTCGGAGACCACCTCTACCGAATGGGAATCATTGATATTAACTGGTGCAATTGTGACAACACCAAAGCAGCAGATCTAAATCATATTTTCTTTGAATGCACAGGAAATGAGCCTCATGTTTCTAATTGAATACAAAGATTAATTTTGCAGGATCAGATATCACTTCCAATCCAATTGTCATCATTGCTAAGAAAGTCCATCCTGGACAAAATAGTTAAGCTCGCAAAATTAGCTTAGGTGGTGATATAAAGCACCACGTAATACAAAATTAGAAAATCTGTGGCTAATGGAATTCTGTCCAAAGCCACCCCCCCTCCCTCCTACATACATACATTACACATGGGTCTTGTTGAACTAACTTATGGGGTACAATACAAGCAATAATTATTTTCGGCACATGTTCCAATTTTACGCGGCAAACATACGGTAGGATAGGAAACCAGAGGTTGGTACGTTTTAACATCCCTAACATCCACAATTTAGGCCATCATAGTTTGACCACCTTTCGCTACGAAGTGGAGTCTGCTACTGACCACCTCAGTATATTTGAAGGATATGCTTCCTATGCCAAGTATAAGGTGAAGATTAGGAATATCTTTTTACTTATGTCACTGCTTTGAAGGATATGCTTATACTCAAAAAAGCAAAAGCATTTACTTCAAATTATAAATATCATCTGAAGGATTTCCTTCAAAATTTGCAAGTACAAGGATATCCTTTGTTTTATGGATACGGTTCAAGATCCAACTAACTCAACAATTGAAGCCAGCGGACCATCATTTTTTATTAATTGGATGCGTGGAAAAGGATGAGGATTCTCGGCTAAGATCGTCTTTTCAGATGAGGCACATTTTTACCTCAGTGGCCACGTAAATAAGCAAAATCGTAGGATCCATGAACAACCTTTCCATGATCAAAAAGTAGCTGTTTGGTGCGGATTATGGCCTGGTGGCATCATTGGTTGAAGACGAAAAAGCCGTTACGGCCACCGCCGAACGTTATCGTCGTATAATAACGGTTTTTCTTTTTTGGCCGAAATTGGAAAGTGTTGACGCCAACGACCTTTGGTTCCAGCAAATCGGTGCAGCTTCGCATGCAGCTCGCCAAACATCGTGCGACTTAACGCCAGTGGACTATTTTCTCTGTGGATTTTTGACTTCCCCACGCACGATTCAAGACCTTGAGCGCAACATTCGCACCGAAATGGCGGCCGTGGACCCGCTAATACTGCAAAAAGTCATCGAAAATTTTGATGTTCGAATGATGGCATGTCAACGGAGCCGCGGTGGACATAAATGGCAACGACCGACCTACAATTTTACAAGCGTGTTTTTAAGATTAAAAAAAGAAGGAACGGATAACACCCTATACCAGGGCTGTCCAACATACGGCCCGCGGGAACTCCTTTCTTGCGGCCCGAATACGCCAATAATGAACTCGTTGATATGTTGTTAATTTATGGCGAATGTCTTCAAAATGCTACAGAGGCTTCGCGAGTGTATGCAGATCGTTTCCCTAGACGACATCATCCAAGGCCCCGCAGATTTGTGTACCTGGTCCAGAGAGTCAGGGATACGGGCCATTTGGAGGAATTTCGAGGTGGGCACAGTGGGAGGCCTAGACAACCACGAATGGTGCAAGTTGAGGAAGAACTACTGAATCGCGTAGACGAGAATCCCTCAACAAGCACTAGAGACGTGGCTAGAGAAGTGCAAGTATCAAAAACTAAAGTGTGGCAAACGCTACGTGAAGAGGGGCTGTATCCGTTTCACGTCCAACGTGTACAAGCCCTTCAACCTGACGATTTTCCAGCAAGAGTGCGGTTTTGTGCGTGGTTGTTGCATCAACATGACAATAATCCGGACTTTTTGAAGTGCATATTGGTGACACACGAATCTACGTTCACGCGTAATGGGGTGAATAACTTTCGCAACACTCATGTGTGGTCAGTAGAAAATCCGCACGCTGTCCGTCGGGCACATTTTCAACAAACATTTTCGGTGAATGTTTGGGCTGGCATGGTGAACGGTATGCTCATTGGACAATTCATTCTCCCAAATCGATTGGACGGGATGCAATACCTAGACTTTTTACGCAACATTTTGCCTTCCTTGTTAGAAGATGTGCCATTAAGTGTAAGACAATCAATGTGGTTTCTGCATGATGGTGCACCGCCCCATTTTAGACGCGAAGTGCGTGAGTTTTTGAATGAATTATTTCCGAATAGGTGGATCGGACGTAATGGACCCGTAGCGTGGCATCCGCGATCTCCAGACTTAACACCATGCGATTTTTTTCTTTGTGGAGAAATGAAACGCTTAGTGTACAAAACTGAAGTGCATACGGTTGACGAACTTCGTCTCAGAATTGGACAAGCTGGTGCTTTCATTCGGGGGAGGGACTCCATTCTCAAAGCCTGCACCGATGCTTGGCTACTTCATGCACGCACCTGTGTTTTTGAATCAAACGGCGATAACTTCGAACAATACCTATGTTCGTGGTCTGCACCAACGCCTGCGTCTGCTCGGTAGCCCATCAGCTGATTTCATTTTCTGTTGGAGCGGTATGATTTCGGGCAGAGACGTACTTAGCCCTTCTCGTCAACTGGAGAGTGAGTACTTTTTCCTTTATTTTTTTTACTTTGTCGCCCTCGTTTCACTACACATTACCTTTGTTATTTCAAGGGTAGTTGTTTCTGAAAAGGAGAACCCCAACTTTGCGGTATAGTATATACCTACTAAAACTCAATAATAATGTTGTATAGAAAGATTTTATAATGCGGCCCTCCAAACTGCATTTTTTTTGAAGTTGGACAGCCCTGCCCTATACTAAAGGAAGCTTTTGCTTTAAGTCGAGGCTTGATCAAATCACTCAATTCATAATTTCTACCCACCGTCCTATTCTGGAAGATCTTCAACCTCCCAGACACGTTCAGCGCTAGATTTCTTTCCGTCTTCGCCGACGACACCACTCCGAGTACGTGCTTGTGCTCGAGGAACAGCCTCCTGGACGCTGCAGCGAAATCGCTCGACTGGTGTCTGAATACGTCCAACAGGGACGAAACGTTGTGCGGGGCGGCGATCGGTTGCGACAGAGTCCGGTCCTGGCAGGCATGGTGGTGGTGTTTGGCTTGAGCGAAGTAGGTGAGGAGAAGCAGAGCGTACGGCAACTCTTTCATGCCGTCATTACTTGAAGAGATGTGTGGTGCGCTGCAGCTGTGGCGTGTCAGAACCAGAAGTCCTGAAACACAATCATAAATGAACGTAAAGCAGATTGATTCTGCACTTCCCGCGCAACGTCGTTATCATTTCATAAAGGATTATTTTCGGCACAAGCTAGAGCCGCTGAGAAAGAAGTTAGTCAAACTGGTACATACGAGGGAGGTTCAATAAGTACCCTTGTTTGACGCAAGAGGGCGTTCCTGAGGGAAGGTAATGTTATCGTGTGCTGCCATCTATCAGACGACGGCACAACCAATTTTAGACAGATTGATAGGTTAGTTTGGATTTGGAAGCCATTCAAGTAACACGTGTTTCGTGATTTTCGCTAAGATCGATAAAGAGCAGTATCGTTCGGTAGTTCGCTTTTCGTTTTTGAATGGGAAAAAATGCGAGGAGATAAAAGCAAAGTTGGATGCTGTTTATGGGGGTACTTCGCCATCTATGACCACAGTTATATATTGGTTTAACGAATTTAAACGTGGGTGAACATCCGTTTTTGTTGAGGATCAACCAGGACGCCCGGCGAGTAATTCATTTAAAAAGTCCACGACATGACTCTCGCTGATCGACGAACGAAAGTGAGCGAAGTAGCAGAGGCCGTAGGTGTATCGACCGGAACAGCAATCAATATTTTGCATGATAAGTTGTCTATGAAAAAATTGTCGGCCCGATGGGTGCCGCGACGGCTCACGGTGGACAACAAGCGGATGCGGTTGTTAACTTGGAAGCAGTGTTTGGAGCAATTTAAGCGAAATCCGAAGGAGTTTTTGCGGCCAGTTCACCGTCGATGAAACCTGGATTCATTACAGACCAGAAACTAAGCAACAATCTGCTTCAAAGAGGGCGAAGACGGAAAGGTCATGGCGATGATTTTTTTGGATACGAACGGCGACATCCTCGTGGTTTTTTTAGAAAAAAGAAACCGATCACCGGACAATACTTTACTGAGTTAACGGACCATATCGACAAAAAATTGAAGGAGACCCGGCCACATTTGACGAAAAAGAATGTGCTGTTTCACCACGATAACGCACCAGCACATTCATCCGGAGTTGTCGCCGCCAAACTGCATGAATTGCATTATAAAGTGCTGCCGCACCCCTCGTAATCACCCGATCTGCGACCTTTTCTTGTTCCCTGACATGAAGAAATGGCTCGCGGGAAAAATTTTTAGCTCAAACGAGGAAGTCATCGCCGAGACAGACGCGTGTTAAAAAAATGGCTGGAACTTTGGGAAAAGTCTATCTCTCTAAAAGGGGATTATGTTGAAAAATAAAACGATTTTTTTTTTGGAAAAAATGGTGTCTTCATTTCTAACACGGGTACTTATTGAACTGCCCTCGTACAATCAGTCCGGTAGTGTATCTGGAAACATCTTCTTAACCCAGTCAGATGTTGCAGCGCTATTCAGAAAATAGAAAATAATTATGCTGTGACGCGGCAAAAATATGTGTAATACCATACGAGAACAACAAAACACTCAACGAGCTGCAGCCGCAAGCGGTAACTTCGCGCTCCGTCTGCTGAGAAGATTATTATATTGATATTTTTCATGTAGCTTTAAGGGCTAATGAACGGAGAAACCTGCGATGTTCAAAATTTTGAATGGACAACCTCCAACCGCAAGTTTTATCACCTATAAATTTTTTTCAAAAATTAAAGGTTTTTTTTACCTTTAGTTTTAGCGTATTTCGTTTTTTCAACTTTTGCCGTGTTCTCTGCCGCCACTGGACCGACTTTCAAAAGGTACAAAGCTTTTGCATCCTTGGCATAGTAGTAGAGATTTTATCGAAATCCGAGCGGTACGTCTCAAGTTAAAAGTGGTTATAGGACAGACCGACAGACAGATAGACCGACGGAAATGAGTGACATGGTTTTTTGTGATGTACATGTCATATAATAGTCTAATCATATTAGCAAATTTCTCCGAAATAATTGTAAAGTCTGGTTTTATTGTTCAATCTTAATCTCAATAATAAATTTGTATTATATCGATTATATATATATATAGCAACATCCTCACATACCTAATTTAAATTCATTTTACACTATTGTTGCTACTGTTATCAATGTAATTACAGCTTCTGATGATGATGGCAAAGACCATTGAAAGCTAAAGAGAATAAAAAAAGTATAAAGAGTCCTCCTTGCTTAAATTTTGTCGAAGTACCCAACAAACGGCGGAAGCTTTAATTTTTCACCTAACTGGTCTAGACGATAATGACCACGTCTCAAGTTATATATATATATAATATGAACTCACATAACCCATCTTTTCAAGGTTGTATCAATGTCACACATTCTGCACTCATATGAACTACACACTTTTTTCCAAATCAAGTTATTTCAGCATTTTAGTAATTTTGGGTGGAGATTTACCGAGCGTCCCTCGTATACTTCATACCCAAAGTTGGACAGGGAGGTGTACATTTCCACGGTCCGTCGCGTCAATCACTTGTCATCTGCCGACGTTTTACCATTCCGTGCCTTCTCCCTCTCCACGTGTAGCGGTAGTAGAAGGTTAGGGACTGCATTCCGATTGTTTCATCAAAATGTCTTCCCACGTGTAACATTTTTAACTTGTTCGGGTGTATTGATATAATTTTAATTTTTTTAACTTTTAACGAAGGTATCTGTCGTTTTTCAACAAGCCCAATGTTCCCGTCCTTTTGTTTTTATACTGATCACAAGTTCGACCTTCTCCACGTTCGTTCTGAAACACCTTGTGGCTGCAACCTCACCGACGAGTAAGTTGTCTGACATTTTAAATCTGTTTTCTTTGCTAGCATCACAATTGTGTTTTCAGAATCCTGATGAAGGCTCCATAGAGAATGCCGATAGCTTGATTTTATCTTCAAAAGAGTCAACTTAAGCCTAAAAGTTTTGCCAGTTTCCTAATTAACAAGTAATTGTATTTTGTACCCAACTGGTCGTTGGCTTTGGCAATGACTACTGCTCATATATATATATATATAATCATCATCTGTTGTATCAGACTGAAGTTTCCAACATTCAAAAGGAAAACATAGTTTCACAGTAGGAGAGCTGACATGAAAATCTAGAGATACACTGAAGGAGAGAAAAGACTATGAAAATCAATGGCCATAAAAGTGAGCCTACAATTTTGACCATAAATCCGTGTTCAGTATCAATTTTATTGCTGCAAGTTATTCAAAGGGGTATTCAATAAATGGACGCATAAAATGGATACACCAATTTTTGTGGGAAGACTTTCTATTCGACAACAAAGAATGAGAAATCGTGATTTTTTCGACTCAATCGAAACTGTTGACAGGAACGAAAAAACTTTTCCAATAAGATTTTTAGGTATTTCTGAGACCTACAAAATGAGACCACACGTAAAAAGATCCGACTAATAGCAAAAATGTTTTGGCCGAAAAACGAGGCAAAATGCAGATTCCGACACTTGTTGGTAATGTGCTGTTAAATATTACAGTTGTTAATTAAATTTACAAGCCTCACCTCCAAGTGACCTCTGAGATCATCATTCAGATAATATCGATAAGTTGCTTCTTTAACATCCTGATAGTTTTGTTGAAATCTTTTTTCCGACAAATGCATAGTTGTCAAGTTACATTACAGTAGGTCATACTGAATAATCGCTTGACTTCATGTATGCAGGTGTACTCCAATGTAAAATCTCGAGTTCTACTTGAATTTGTTGTCTAACACAGTAGTTGCCATTTAAATTTACGTACCTGACCTACACATGACTTCTTAGATAAATAATCATTAGTCATATAGTCCTTCGAAAAAATTTTTCACGCCCAGAATTAGAAATGTTCGGACAGTAGACGTAAATAAACTAAATTGATATGAAGCATAGCTATGTGACAAGCATTAATTGTGCTGTTGAAATCCATAATTTGAAACAGCAGAGGTAAAACCTAAATAACAGAGCATCACGATTGCTACCTGGTACACCTACTGTAACGATGTGATCAAGTCAAATAGTGACGCTGTAGAAAAGTCAAGTATTAGCAGAGATGAAAATTAATAATACTCAGACGTCGATGATAAAAATTACAAACAAATGGAACCATAATGCGTTGCAGAGTTTGAAGAAGTTCGTTGATACAGCTACGTCAAATATTTATGTCCACAAATCCGTGATTTTCTCTCAGAATGAATTTGGTACTTTCATTAACGGAAAAGAAAATAGATAATGCACAAGTTGTACAAAATCAGGATAAAATTATATCAGATCCCCATCTATTTCAGTTTTTGAGTGTCTTGAGGTGTGCTGATAAAATTAGTGCATATTACCGAGCTAATAAAAATAACCCAAACACCGAATCCTAATGAATTAAAGTGAATAGTGAAACTGTTGTTAAAGTTACTCATGAAATAAAATCATATTCTAGTGGTTCAGATGGAATAACTTTTAATGTGATGCTGCGAGAATCAATGTTAACTTAACAAAAAATCTTAAAAACTATTTAAAGTAGATTAATCTCGAAATACTCTTAGAGATCTTGTAGAACAAGGTCTTAGTTTTAGTTTAGATATTTGGCGACCTGGAAAATTATAATATCCAATCAAGTTTTTAAGCAACGAACTTTAACGTCAACTTTAATGGAAAGTTATTGGAAGCTTTTTTGTTCAGAATGACCCAAAAAACCAACAAACAATTAGTCCGGGGCAAAAATATTTTTTGTAAATTGTGAGCAGTGCAAAAAAATCACTTGAGAATAGAGAAAATTCGAATGACAAACTACTCCCTCCACACGAAAACCCACAATGACACATTAGAGTCTACCGGCCAGTTGTCATATTGCCTTTTTGCTAAAAATAACATAATTAGAAATAATTTTCCCTATCAGGTCATGGCAGTTATATTATTAAGTACAATCCGCTGTTAACTCAATAGGCACTGAATACTGACTATAAATAGAAATCATCTTCGTAGACTTACTAGGGACATGCCACGTGGCAAATATCTGAGATGTCTGCAAAACTCCGAGTGTAAATAGTCGGTGCACAGATTATTTCCATTTT